AGCTCTGAGGAGGGGCGGTCAGGGGGAGTTGAGGCAGGTAACCGGGCTGGAGAAGCATCCGAGGATCACCAGAACAGGTAGGTGAAAACACTCCAAGCGGTACAAGCCACGCCAACCTCTGTTTATAATTAATCGATTTGTATATATTAATGCTTATTTCTTAAATTTTGTAAACATCGTACATTAATATTATTTAATTAGTCTGTCACTGTTACTGTCTTGGAGAAGCTGTAGCCCCAATTCCTTAGGGATTAATAAAGTATTCTGATTGTGGTAGTTTACCCAGTTTAGGTTAGTCTTTAGTTTCATATAGGTTCGCTTTGCCCTTTGTTTTGTGCTTTTCCCACCAGCTATATTAAACTGCTCACTTTTTGTTAAAATCAAGTTACATTCCACGCTTTGTTTTCTCAACGTTTGGCTCCTCTGTGATCTGCCAGGGTAGATCATAACAGTAATGAATGCTTTTTCGATACAAGTTTCAGTGCTTTAGAAAGCTTCATTTGGCCGTGACTACCAAATATGATCTAAAATATGCATTTATGCTGAAAATGCTGTCATATGAAAAATTCTTGGCTAGGATTAATGATGATATGGAGGGTTTTGACAAATCATGGGGGTGTGTTTTTGGCTGAGATTGATTGATTTTATTTTGGCCATGCAGTTATGTTATGTTTGTTGTGTTGTATGTTTATTTAGGCACTCAATAACGGAATTTGATTTGATTTCATTGTCCCTTTTTTGTGTGTGTTCGTATTTATATTTAGTAACTATGCAAATGTGAATTAACCATGGGATTGGAAGCTATCGTTTTTGTTTTGTTAAATCTTAAAAACAAATAAAGACTTCAATTACAAAAAATATGCATTTAAACATAGCTAGAAAGTCAGTGGTTAACCTGAAACAATTAGAGGCAATTTGGACATTTCATAGGTTTTGTGTTAAAATAGTGAGCTAAAACATCACTTTAATGTTGAGAGAAAACACTGGCTTCTAGGTAACAAAAAGTAGCTATTATTAATGATAAATGATGTTGCAGTTCTGCTAAAGTTGGCAAGCAAGTAGCAATAGCAATTAGTTCTAATTAAAAACACATAACCCATAGCTAACAAACAACAAGCACGTTCTCATCTATTATGTCAAGCCAGCAGGTCAGGTTAAAGTTAACTGTTGGTATTTATCTTGGACTTAATTGCCAGCTCAAGATGTCTCTCCAGAGCCAGGGCAATTATAAAGGACCACCTCCATCCTAACCACGACCTCTTCAACATCCTGCCCTCTGGAAAAAAGCTCAGATCCATCAGGTGCAAAACCAACAGACTAAAGAACAGCTTCTTCCCGTGGGCTGTCAGAACTCTTAATGCAAACTAAGAGTGTGTAAAGTTCCCCAACACATCCACCCTGACACTGCTGTTGATCATCTATGTGCAACATCTCAGTCTTTCCATGTTCTGTGCAATATTTTTGGCTCATGTGCAATTATTTTGGTCCCAGTCTGTTTCAATGTTTCCTACACATACACCATGTATATAGTTCCACTCACATATGTATACATATACACTGCTTTTTATTTTATTCTATTTATTTATTATTATTATTTATTTCCACCTTCGTTGTATATTGGTTTCTCTTCTTCTTACTTTAGCAGCTTTGTGGTCCAGCTACCCAATTTCGCTGTGCAAGAAACTGCACAATGACAATAAAAAGCTCTAAGTCTAAGTCTCTAAATATGCTCAAACACAACTTTGATGTAAGAAACTGTCCACTTTATTCAGAATGATTCAATAAACTATACACACTTTTATCCTGTACACTTTTTCCATGTCCAGTTTTCTGTATTTTCATTTTGAGCACCACTCCTAGTATTCTTTAAGAGGCATTTATGCAACTTTAGGGTAATCAAAACATTGAGATGTTATGATGGCACTGTTTCAATCTTGCCCAACCTCTGTGTAGATTAACCAGAGGTTAGTTTTCCAACCCTCAGAAGTACTGCAAAGTCTGCAGATTCTTAGGATTTCAAATCTTCTCATGTGAAGAGGTTTATCTGACAAGGGCTTAAATGTAACAGATTTTAATTTATATGTTCAAGTACTAAAACCACAGTGTGTTGAACACAGAAAGTCATGTTCCTGCTCCCCCCTCCCCCTGTGGTTGTGGCCCTTAGAAACTACACAGACTGGCCTGCAACCCAACAAAATGTCCAACTTTGCGGCCTTTTGAACAAGCAGTTTATAAGTCATCAGTTATTTGTGGTTGATATTATGTGTTTTCCACATCTAACATCTCTGGATAATCCAGTAATATAATGCACAAGGTAATTTAGAAGTGCGAATAATATCCTGCCTTTTAAAGGTTAATCCCAAACCCCTGTGTTTGTCAACGTAATAATAATAATAATAATAATAATAATAATAATAATAACAACAACAATAACAATAACAACAACAACAATAATAATAATAATGATAATGATAATATGTCATTAGAACTAGGGATGGGTATCGAAACCCGGTTCTTGTTGAGAACCGGTTCCCACTGTTTCAATTCCTTGGAATCGTTTGCCATTTTTGCAAACGATTCCCTTATCGACTCCAGTCGCCCCAAATGACGTCACCACGTTGCGGAGCGTCATTTACCTGGCAGGAAACACGGCGCCTAAGCGGCTCAAACGCTCAAAAGTTTGGTTATACTTTACGAGAACGGATGACAACAGGACAACTTGGAATACTTGCAAAGTAGATATTTCATTTAAGGGAGGAAACACTACGAATATGCAAAAGCATTTGCTCACAAAACACGCGATGACCTTAAATGAATGTCGTGTTTTTAATTCGCTCCGGACTCGTGAATCTCAACCCAGCAGCAGCGGTAACGTTTGCACGTCCTCTCCCGTTAATGCAGCAGGTAAATAATCAACTAACAGTCCATATTATGTTAGCGCGATCTGCCTTATTACAAACCTGCTATTACTGTGCATTTAGTGACCATGATGAGACAGACAGAGTCTGGCTCAGATGCTGGCAGCTCTCGCTGCAGTCTACCGGTAGCGTCTCCTTTCAGGCCAGGATAGACGAATGTCACCGAGCAGTGACTCAGTTTGTGGTCAAAAGTTTGCACCCATTTGCCACAGCAGATGTCCCCGATTTCACTTTGGTAAGTGAATGTGTTTAATTGTAGGCAGGGACATTACTGGATATCCTTGTGTAATTGCTACAGAACAATTTATGTTATACTTTGTTATTGCTACAGAAGAATATTTATTTTATTATTTTACATTTACAATTTTTTTTCCTGGGGACCCTGTGACACCCCATTGAAGAGCCGTAGGCTGGATCTCTTAAGATCTCACTGTTGGGTTTCTAAGGCCATACTCCTAAATTACTCCTAAATTTCTATCTTGTTCAAAGAGAAGATATAAAACAAAGTTCTAAGCTAATCGACCTTAGTGTTCTCCTTTTTAAAAAATAAGAATTGATAAGAGAATCGATAAAGAATCGAATCGTTAAACAGAATCGAAAATGGAATCGGAATCGTTAAAATCTTATCAATACCCATCCCTAATTAGAACGTATGTTGCTAACTACAAACGGTCCATTGGAGTGAACGGAGCTCTGCAGCGAAGCGGCGCGTTCACAGTTTCGGCACTTCTCGGGTGTTTGCGTCACCGACTCGGGCCACAGCGCCTCCATTTTGATTTCACTTGCATGGTAGCTTGTGTCCAGTGTCGGAATAAACGGGTTAAAAACAGGAGCAAACACGGAGGCGCCGAGATTATTACAGAAATGGACGGGTAATATTAAATCAGTGAAGCTAACTACACGGCATTTCACACATATTACGGCAGCAGAGCTGTAACTATGTGATAACGTCATTTTATGAGAGAGCTACGGGGGAAATGGGAATGTTGTGTTAGCGGGTTTCCATAGCGCCGCATTTTTCTTTGCTATTTAGGAACGGCTTAATGTTAGCATGCTTTTCTAACTTAGCACCGAGTCGCTGTTTTTCTTATGAACTGTTCTAGTTGTTATTTAAAAGCCTCTCATATAAAGCGACGCTTTCAGGGAAAAATGCTTCTTTTTTTCCTAAGTTGTACTTGACAGTAGCTTGCTACCGGCTCGGCTAATAAAGTTTAGCAAACCGTTATGCTAACTACATGCTACACTACCACTGCTCCTTTGTGTAGCACCTGACTGCGTTTAAATAACCAGTGTATGTAAAAGGTCAAGAGAGTGAAACGTGCCCTTACTTTAAATCAGTATTCCTAACTTCCGATTAAAAACATCCTATTTTGTGGAGTTTTACGGTTAAAGCATAGAAACAGTTAAGCTATGCCTCCTGTTGATATCAAACTTAAACTTGACGTATCACGTTGAGTTGAGTTACTAGTATTACAAGTGTACTACAGTGTGTCATTTATAGTATCTGTTCATTGGGGTCGAAGCGAGAATAACGTGAACGTTAATTAAAGATGTTATGAATCATAAGTGAGCTCATGGGGAGGCGGGTGGATGGAAAGGCAGTAGGTCATGTAGGCGTAGAATACACGTTTGGCAAAGCTATTTACTTATCAGCACAGAAAAGGAAATAGACTGCATGTATAAGCGGCTGTAATAACATTCATAAAGGGTCCATGTATTCAGTCCGTGCACAGTGTGGAGTTAAGAAGCAGCTTTGGTTCTATGTGTTATGGACTGGAGTGTCATGAGAATACGCTGACATCTACTCATATCTAGTGCTGTTTTGTATGTTTCTGTTTTATGTTGTTCTGATGTTTTAAATCCCTTAATTGTGAAAACAAAATTATTTCTTTCAGCATCAGTGATGTTGCAGTTGGTGTAAAGGTGAGTTTCTTTACATGTGTGCATACTTAAACATGCAGAACACTTTTCCCTTCCCGCTGTCACCAAAGCGCTTGCTCATAGAGGGTCATATGATTGTTGGGTTTCTCTCTGTGTGCATTACTGTAGGGTCTATCTTACAATATAAAGCACTTTGAGGCGACTGCTGTTGTGATTTGGTGCTGTATAGGGCTGGGCGATATGGCCTAAAATCAATATCACGATAAATAGAGCAGTTAACCTCGATAACGATAAATGGACGATAACCACCCCAAGTGCCAAAAAAACAAACGTTTTTTTTTTTTTTTTCATTTGATGGGGCTGTGGCAGGCAGCATAGTTCCTCCAGTTATTTTGATAATATTATTCCCCCTAGACCTATTCATTGCAATTATATTATTACCACTTTAAAGGACTGTAAAATGTCACTGAAAATAAATGAAGACAATAGTAGTAAGCACTTTTAGTGGTTAAGATTTATTAACTGAACAAAATAAAAAGTGTAGGATACAATATGTAACCATGCTCTCTAAAAAATGTGTATCCCTTGTAAACAAAATAGTTTAATAATAAATATGTTTCACATTGGCTATTCAGAAAGTAAACAATGATTGTGCAAATGTAATGCCATCATGGACAAAGGCCTATCTCTGCTAAGGCCTTGAGGTACTATAACTTGTAAACAAATAATGTCACAAACACAAATGTCAATTGAACACAGAAAAAACTATAATAAATACTAAGCACTGCCATGTGACTAGTGAAAACTACAAACTCTTAAACAAAAACATTAAATAGTGCTGTTTGCAAAAAACTTCAATAGAACACTGATAGTTAAAATTAGGCAGGGCTTGAACATTTTTTTGTTAACAAGCGTCTCCTCTTCCTCCTCCACCAGCTCTACCTCCGTCGCTGCTGCTTCAACATTTAAATCGTCCTCCATTTGTTCACCCGTGTCTCGTCTTGTTACAGGTAGTAGAGTCTTAAAGGGACATGAACATCGCCAACCTGCACATTCTTTTTTTTTTTAAATACCGAATTTACCGACATGGGCAAAATGACGTCGATGAGAGTCATAAATTTCGGTAACGATAAATTTTTGATATATCGGCCAGCTCTAGTGCTGTATAAATAAACTGAACTGAAAACAAGTAACGCAGCACTTTACTTAATCCTCCTGGGAGTAATTAACAGGTAGAAACAGACTCCTGTTCTCTACAAGAACCGGCTCTTGGTTCCAATCCCTAGATGGGGGTATATAAAACTTGGAGACCACCAAAAATAAAGCAGGTGGTCTTTTGTTTGTTTTTGTCTGTGTGTGTGCTGCATTAGCGTAGCTCCAAGGTGTAGTGGTTAATAAGTTTGCTTGACAAGTGAAAGGTTGTTGGTTCAAACTCAGGCAGGGCATCTGGTGTTAAACTGCCCAATCAAAGAGGTGACGCTACTTGCTGTGGTGACCCCTTATGGCAAGGAAGAAGCTGCATTAGTAATGACTGTTGTATGTATACTGTTTCCTAAGAGCATGCTGTTTGAGCTTAATATTACATTTTCTTAGGAATAGAACTTTTATCCTGCAGTATTGAACTAACCACTAATCATCCACAACCTGTAGATGATGTTTAATTCAGGGAATGATGGAGTCCATTCATAAGCATGAATAAGTGTTAATGTTGTTTTCTATTTAAATTCTGAATAATCATATCTGAAGCTCTAATGTGTTGCAAGAAAGAAAAATATGTGTGTGACTTATTTGCTATCGGTTAACAGATGGATTCATGTGCTTTGACTATTAAACAAGTTCCACTTGAAAACATCCGTGTTTTAATCTGACATGTGCCTCCCAGTTATTGTGTCAGTGTGTTTATTCAGACTGAGGATAAGAATGGGTGAACCTGAAACCTTATATTCCTTATATTGCTCCAGTAAATATGCATGTGGAAAAGTTACTCCACATTTCACACTTGTTTGCTCGTGAATGCGTTTAGCTGCTCCGGGCAGCCAATCTTATTTGTTGAGTGCCAGGTACATTAAGGTGTGTAAAGGCTGAACTGCCAGATTGTTCTGATAGTGTGCTCCTGGGAAATGAGTTTATCTCATCAGTATTTCAGTGTCTGAGGCAAAGACCAGTGGGCTTCCAGCTGTTAGAAGACCCATTACTCCTACCCTGTTGGCTGTGACACTTGTGTGCTCACCATTTTGGCCTTACTCGGGCTACTTTTCCCCTTTGAATTTATCTGTACCATGTTTCTGTAGCTGAGCCTGCAAGTGACAGAAGAACAAACAGTTCAAATTCGGCGACACCTCCACAAGGAGGTGGGATATGAAACTATTAGAAAGTTGTGTGTGAGATGGGTCCCTAGCTATGTTGGTTGCCACCCCATCAGTCAGGGTTTAAGAGCAGAGGGTGCCTGGCAGTGCCAGCAGGCCTTCAGAGACCTTGTATAGCTCAGGGTGAGATGACACATCCCTACATCTTACTTTTAGCAATTTAAACTGACACAGGCAGAGGAGCGAAACCATTAGTGTGATGTTTTGTCTTCAAGGGCCTGTCAGGAAAGTCTTTTTCTCAGCAGTGCCTGATGCTGTTTTCTTTTCCTTCCACAGAGAGGATCGGATGAGCTGAGTATGTACAACAATTCCAACTCTGGCATGAGCAGTAACAGTGGTGAGTTCGTTCCAACCGCCCATGAACTCTGAGGGGATTGATGGAATTTGCATGCAGCCAGTCGATACAGCAGACCTAAGGATTAGGTGAAGTAGGCTGCATGAGTTTAGGTGGAGAGAGCTGTTTGGTGGGTAACATCACGCTCCTTAGTAGGAGGGCACCTACACACCATAGCCAGTGGCTGGAACAGACATGGAGGATATCCCTCCTCTCTGTTTAAATGTTATCATTCCATGCATGAAGGTTTTTCTGATGTTCTTCCACTTCCCACACCGCCCCTGTTGAGTTTGTGACACGGCCTAAGCATATCTGCCAGCTTCCTTGTGCAGTTGAACTTCCCTGTATGCCAGCTTTCGATACTCTGATGGAGTTTCCTTGTTTCACAAGGATCTATCTGGACACAAGCTCAACTGTTCTTTTCCTCGCTGTACGCAGCCACACTTTCAGTCTCTGGAACAGCTCCAGTCCTGTCTTGGAACATTTGAACTGGGAAAAAGTTATTGAACAGGCTTACTGAAATGTATTTAATGCTATTTAATACTCAAGATGGCTCCTGTATGGAGAAACTAGTTACACGAGTGATTTTGGCCCAGTCTTCCACACGGACAGTCTTAAACTGAAGGATCTGTTGGCCCCTTCTAGGAACTCTGAGCTTTAGCTTCCATAGATTTTTCAGTTGGGTCTTCTTTGAAACAGTTGTACCTGCTGATTCCTGTCGCTCTCCACACTTCCTCCTTGGTTCTTGAACAACTCGTTGGATAATCCTTTTCACTCACTGCATTGCAGTTTTGTCTCCACAATTAAATCCATCACAAAAAATTAGCGCATTGTAATCGTCACAGTGCTGTGTGGATCCTAGCATACTTGCTGATGCAGGAAATGTTCTGTTTGTTTTTTTTAAGTTTGCCTCATTGTTTCTAATTCTCGACATTTGTTGACAGTAGCAGAAAATCACGAGCTTTACCTTTAAGATCCCAGTGTGTCATTGTAGTGCACCTTTCAGTTAATCAGCATTTCTCCTGAAATCTTAGATGGGGCTCCCAATGGCAGTGATAGTAAGAAGCTAAGGGTGGAGGAGGCCCTGCCTTCTCGTGTGATCCACATTAGGAAGCTGCCAAACGAGGCCTCAGAGACTGAGGTCATTGCCCTCGGCCTCCCCTTTGGCAAAGTAACCAATATTCTCACACTGAAGGGAAAGAATCAGGTAAGTGAATCAGGCTGTTTAGCATTTGTATAATTTCATCCAAAACAGTTGTTAGGCTCAATTTGAAAGCGCAGATAAATTCACACAGGACAAGCCATTCTTAGACACCAGCCTGTAAATGCATCTGACAATTGTTCCAAACGCAGTCGAACTGCAACATGTTGAATTTCATTATTAAAATAACCAAGTAAGAGTGAGTCAACAAATTCAGCTTTTTCTTTCTTCTTTTGCCTTCTCTTCTAACGTTCAGGCGTTTTTGGAGATGGGGACAGAGGAGGCAGCTGTCACTATGGTTAACTACTACTCCAAAGTAACTCCCCTTATCCGTAACATCCAAGTGTTTATTCAGTACTCCAATCACAAAGAACTCAAAACTGATGCTGCTAATCAGGTTAGTGGAAACTAACAGACTGATATGTTAGTTGTTGCACAGCTTCATGTTTTTAAAACGTGCTTTCAACTCGTGTGCCTCATCACTGCTTGATTGCAAATGCATGCTGTTATTTGGCTGCATTAAATGCTTGGAAATATCTGGAATCATTACCAAAAAAACAACAGCCGTAGAAGGTGCCTGTTTGATATTTGCCATCTACATTAATAGCTGTGTGCTGTGCTTGTGTTCGGGTGTAGCGGACCCAGGCCGTGCTGCAAGCAGTGTCAGCAGCCCAGTCACCAGGGTCCGAGGTACAGGAGGTCCTGGCTGCAGTTTCCAGTCCTGTGCTGCGCATCATTATTGATAACATGTTCTACCCTGTAACGCTGGACGTACTGCAACAGGTAGGCAGCAGTTAACAAAGAGTATTTGCTGCTTGTGGCTGAACAAGAAACCTCCAGTTTCTTTGTCTTGACAGATTTTCTCCAAGTTTGGCACAGTCATGAAGATAATCACGTTCACCAAGAACAATCAGTTCCAGGCTCTTCTGCAGTTCAGCGATCCTGTCAGTGCACAGCAGGCCAAACTGGTATGGTCATGTTTTCTTGCATGTCTAATAGGATTGTCCCAGTACTAGATTTTCAAACTCTATATGAGTCTTAGGAAAATACTCTATATCATTTTTGACACCCCCCCCAATCCTGCAACAATATAAGTAAAGGTGATGAAGTCTTATCTTGAAAAACTTGGCCTGTTAATTTTCATCCAATATTCCCATTTATAAGTTATATTTAACAAAATAAGTGTTTAAGTTTCAGATTTTTTTTATTTTATCATATAAAAACCTGAGCGCTTAGGATGGGGCCTCCCTGACCTCAGATATTATTATTTTGCAGCGCAGATGAGAGCAATAATATGCTGGTGTAACCAATCATACACTGCCCAATGGAAAACCATTGAGGAACAAATGCTGTCTATACCTATTCAGGCAACTCTAGCTGACAATAACTTACAAACCTATATAAAAAATACTGATAACATGTGGGTGAAAAGGACCCTTAAAACATGGAGAACTATTATAAAGGAATATAAACTCGAGACCAATATTACAGTTCTTAAATGGTGTGCTTACGACTCAGAGTTCAAACCTAATGAACTGGATTCTAGATTCAAGGACTGGACAGGTAAGGGCATAACAGCCCTGTGCAGTATAATGAAGGATGGAAAATTGTTCAGCTTTGACATGCTTAGAAAAACATTTTCATTAGAAAAAGAAGACTTTTATCGATATCTGCAGTTAAGGCACTATGCCGACACGAAGATGAGAAACGTAACAATGATAAACACACGCTTGATGGAAGTGTTTATAAAAAGCTATAACTCAGAAACTATTGATAGAATTGTATCATGTCTCTATAAGGGTCTAATGGATTTGAAACCACATTCGACTTCATATATTAGAACAAAATGGGAGAAGGAAGGAGGGATAAAAATATTAGAGGAAGAATGGACGGCAATATGGAGATATCAGTGGATGTGTACCAGCTCACGAAAGTGGAGGGAATTCGGCTGGAAGTGCCTAATTAGATACTTTATAACACCTTCTCAGAAGTCTCATTATGATGATAACCCCCCTGCTTGTTGGAGGAACTGTGGAAATCAAAGTGCAAATCACTACCACATTTTCTGGGCCTGCCCAATTTTGAGGGATTATTGGAGAGAAATACATAATGCCTTACAGGATATCTTTAAACGTGAAATACCTCTCGAGAGTAAGACTATGTTCTTTGGATATATACCTCAGGAATAGCCTAAATATGATAAACATTTAGTAAATATTTTATTGGTGGCCTGTAAAAAGAATATCACCAGAAAATGGTTATCCCCAGAGAGCCCAAACATAAGTACATGGATGGAAATCACAATGGAAATTTATAACATGGAAAAGATAACAGCTTCTGTTAACCACAAGCTGGAGAAATTTACATCATATTGGGAAAACTGGGTTAAATATATCACCCCTCATAGGCCAGATTTTACTATTACAAACCAATAATTATGATGTATGTATATATATTTATAGGATCACCCCATACCAACACATCCGTGTTTTTTTTTTTTTTTTTTTTTTTTTTTTTTTTTTTTTTTTTTTTTTTTTTTTTTTGTTGCTTTCTTAGGTTTGTTAGTTTTGTTTTTTGTTTTTTGATTTTCGGATTATGTGATGGTTTCAATTACTTCTATCGTTGTAAGTATTCTTCCCTTATGACTTGGATGTAAATTAAAATACTATTTCAGTATTTAAGGCAGATAACCTAAGTATGAAGAATGCTTACATGATGTACATACTGTGAATGCCTGCTTTTGAAACCTTAATAAAAATATGAATTAAAAAAAAAAAAAAAAAACCTGAGCGCTTACTGTCAAAAAGATTGTAAGTTACTGTGAAAGTAGAAAAGTTACTTTTTACTGTGTTGTCCACATCTGCTTTCAGCTTCCCTCAGTCTGCAGTTTTTCAGGCCGTCACCTCTGGTCCTCAGGCCTGAAAGCTCAGGCTGCCCTGCCTGCATTAGTTATCCATGCTCTGGACTCTGCAGAGTTCATCTAATAATCAGGCCCCATCTTATCTTAATGTCTCTCTTCCACAGCATGTCTTTATCCTGTCTTCCTTCTCTCACCCCAACCAATCACAGCAGATGGCCCCGCCCCTCCCTGAGCCTGGTTCTGCCGGAGGTTTCTTCCTGTTAAAAGGGAGTTTTTCCTTCCCACTGTTGCCAAAGTGCTTGCTCATAGGGGGTCATATGATTGTTGGGTTTTTCTCTGTATGTATTATCATAGGGTCTACTGTTGTTGTGATTATATAAATAAAATTTAATTGAATTGAATCTACAGTTCCCCCACAGCCAGCATGATCATGGATTTGTAATCTGTTCTGTCATGGCTCAGTATTCAGTCTGCTGTTCATCTTTTATCTAACCACAGTCCAGTAGCAGCTACGTTAATCATAAAATATGGCTAATGGTTAAATGGTCAATGTGCCAGACTCAGCGAAGCGGTGTCGTGCTGCTACCATCAATAATACAAATGGTGTAACGACCTTTTCAGTTCTTGAGCACAGATGTCATTTTCCTCCTCCTAGGCACTGGATGGCCAGAACATCTACAATTCCTGTTGCACACTCCGTATTGACTTCTCCAAGCTGGTCAACCTGAATGTGAAGTACAACAATGATAAGAGTCGCGACTACACCCGACCTGAGCTGCCAGCTGGTGATGGCCAGCCCAGTTTTGACCCCACAGTTGCCGTTGCTTTCAGCAAAGACTCCAGTTCTCTCCTCGGTAAGATCCCAGGTAGATCCCACTTTTATCTTTCCTCTTTTGAACTTGACGTTGTTTGTTCTCACTCTGCATTCTAAATCAGGTTGGTGTGACGGGAATTCACACGAGCATCTTCAACTTACATTTGTAAATATTACTTTTTCCCCTCCTTTTTAAAAACAAAAAAAAAAAGGTAAATTATCAGATAAACTAAGTTCAGATTGATAACCACATGAACTAATTAAACTAACAACTAAAAAAAACAACTTTCTCTTTTGCACATAATTAACATAATCTGGTCCTTAGCAGCAGGCTAATGAGCTAAATACAGTCTAGATAAGGACCGGCTCTTATTCAGTGCTTTTCTGCTAGAAATGCTTTATAGACTGATGAACGACAGTACATGACATTTATTTAACATAAAATATACATAGAAGCAGGCCTGTCAAAAACTAAGCACACCCTTACTGCTTCCATAGGAATTGAGTGGTTAAGTAGCAGCTAGGTACTGTAATACACTTGGATGCACTTGATCGCAATTGATCATAAGATCACCTCTTTAAAAGTAAGCTGTTTCTTTGTTTGTTTTTCCTTTGCTGGTCAGTAGGATTCAGGTTTTTTGAATACAGTGGCAAGAAGAAAAGCTATTAGGAAGGATCTTAAAGTGCCTGTTGTTCCTGCTGCAGATAACTCTACATCCTTTCAAAAGTGGATTCAAGCACCAGAAATATTTGTCTCTCTGGAACCATTAATTTGAAAAATCCGATTAGCCACTTACATTTTTAAATTGCTCACTCACTTCCCAGTCATACTTTGGAATTAGTCCCAGTATGTTTCACAAAATAAAATGAACATGGTTGACACTGAGGTGTCCCTCTTCTCATACTGACTTTGTCATTTTCTCTGTGGAGGTTGAGCAGAGCAAGGGTGTATCTAATACACAAAATAAAAAGCTCGTCTGTTTAACCCTTTAAAGCCGGTCGGAGCGGGCACGCTCCGTTTTGCGTAACTTTTTTAAAATCCCGGTAGCTCTGCAACCACTTAAGCTAGCGCAATAATCTTTTTTGCATATGAAACCAGAGGAGTTGTACTTACATCTTATGCCATCAGCTTGTCCTCGGTCACAGTTTCCTTCCACATAAAGCTTTGCAAAAACTGCATAAAAAGCACTTGCAGCAACAAAAACATAATATTCCAGAAACACGCTTTGCCGATCCGATCAGCTGTTCATAACACTTCCTACGTTGGAATAGACGTCAGCGCGAACTTTTGCATGTCCACCATGACCTGCCCGAAACCGGAAGTGACGTCATTTTCGCGGGAATGTAGTTTTTTACCATCAGGGCCCTCATGAGCCTATGCTGGTCTTTTTAAAAGTTATGTTTGACTTTATGACTTTGTGTCATTTCTGGGATGCTGAGGACTCATATTGCACTGCTGGAAATAGTTTATTTTGATGCATATGCTACTTTTTTTTGCAAATTTGCATCATAGGATTGTTTTTTTGTTTTTCCTGCAGTATATGAAAATTGGTGTATTTCAAAAATAAAACTATGAAGACACTTAAAATAAATTTCCTGTGGTGGGAAACTAGTTTGTGCAACTTTTTTGTATTTGCAGTTTTGAGGGATGAGCCTCTTAAATTTCTCTAACTAGAAATATATGTTTAAAAAAACAAAAGACGATTTTCAAATTCTTTGTAGTTTATTGCACTTTTTTGCAATTTCTGTAGTTACTATGGACTTAATGCAGACATATTATTAGAATTTGGGCTATAATGGTTGTATTGATGTATAGCAACTTGAAATGCTCCCAAAAATGGCTCCACAACATGTAAAAATATAATATAAGCTCTGGCGGACTTGGCTCTATGGTAGGTCTTAAAGGGTTAATTTAAACCCCCAAATCTGTGTAATTGCAGAAATGTGTCTGGTTTCAAATATTGCACATGCACATTTCTGTGCAGGTAAGACCACAGATTCAGGTTTGCATCCACACGGTGTCAGCTTCTGACAGTTTCTGCAGTAGGTAAAAGCTTGGTTTTGCACCAGTCACATTTCTTGGACCGTCACCACCACAACATGAGACTTGGTACTACTGACTGACTCGGTTCCCTTATTTAGACTTAAACCAATTGATGAAGTTTCTTCGTGTGTACGTGAGTTAGTGCCCTTTCTTAAATCTTGCCGTATAGTCTAATGTACATAGCTTATCATACCATCTACATATTGTCTCTTCCTCACGTCTTGTACCAGCTGTGTGAGGTCACAATGAAGGTAGGGGAGGGGCTGATCGCATTAAGAGATTTGATTGGGTAGTACAGTGTATAAATGAAAGAATGGGCTGCTGTCAGTGTTCGTACAGCTGGTGCAACAGCTCTTCAGGCCGGTCCATTGGCCCGTTATGCCAGATTACCAGTCCAATTCTAAATTGCCCACAGTCTGAATGGTTGTTTGGTTCTCTGTGTTAGCTCTGCGACAGACTGGTGACCTGTGTAAGGTGTACCCTTCCTTTCGCCCTATGGTAACTGGGATAGACTCCTCCTCCTCTGCGGTCATGATGAGGATAAGCAAAAGAGAATAAATGGCGTAGTGGAGTTTTCACCTAGGAGGTAATCCTGAGAGTTGTTGACCCACCCTCTCATCATGGGAGTCATTAAGGTGTCATGGGTCAAGTTGTGAGTGTGTGTTGAATTACCGTAAAGGAAACTCAAAATAGAACGTTAACTACCGTAGGTAATGTTTGTAACGCTATAAGTAAGTTGTTCCATCTATTCAATATAACCTCTGTCTTGTGTCAGGGTCTAATAGAGATTGACAGACCACGTGACTTTCGCGCATTGCATGCAAATCAAATCAAATCACTTTTATTGTCACATCACATGTGCAGGCACACTGGCACAGCACATGCGAGTGAAATTCTTGTGTGCGAGCCCCACAAGCAACAGAGATGTGCAAACACAACAACACAAACGAGCAAAATACAAGAATGGCCAACCTGAAACTAATAAATATATGTACAATATATAATAGTGTATGCATTTCTGGATGTGTATACTAAATATTTTCCTGTGTGTGTGTGTGTGTGTGTGTGTGTGTGTGTGTACACATTTTTACAAATTAAATAGTAAAAAAAATAAAAATAAAATAATAATAATAATATTAATATATAAAATATACAGAGTTGAATATGTGCAAAACAAGTGGCATTTATATACAGTGTGGAGTGCATAATGTTAAAGTTCCAGTAGTGAAGCTGAGGTATCTATGACGTGTTCAGCAGTCTGATGGCCTGGTGGAAAAAGCTGTCTCTCAGTCTGCTGGTACGGGACCGGATGCTGCAGAACCTCCTTCCTGATGGAAGCAGTCTGAACAGTTTATGGCTGGGGTGACTGGAGTCCTTGATGATCCTCCCCGCTTTCCTCAGGCACCGCTTCCTGTAGATGTCTTGGAGGGAGGGAAGCTCACCTCCAATTATCCGTTCAGAGCACCGCACTACTCTCTGGAGAGCTTTGCAGTTGTAGACGGTGCTGTTGCCATACCAGGTGGTGATGCATCCAGTGAGGATGCTCTCAATGGCACAGTGATAGAAGGTCCTGAGGATGCGGGGGCTCATGCCGAATCTTTTCAGTCTCCTGAGAAAGAAGAGGCGCTGCTGCGCCTTCTTCACTGTTTTGTTTGTGTGTACTGACCACGTAAGATCCTCAGCCAGATGTACTCCAAGGAACCGGAAGCTGCTCACTCTCTCCACAGCAGCGCCGTTGATGGTGATGGGGGTGTGTACTTCTCTGCACCTCCGGAAGTCCACTATCAACTCCTTTGTCTTTGCGACGTTGAGGGTGAGATGGTTGTCTTGACACCAGTGGGTCAGGGCGCTGACCTCCTCCCTGTAAGCCGTCTCATCACCGTTGGTGATAAGACCCACCACTGTAGTGTCGTCCGCAAACTTCACAATGATGTTGGAGCTGTTAGTGGCTGTGCAGTCGTAGGTGTAGAGTGAGTATAGGAGAGGGCTCAGTACACACCCCTGTGGAGCACCAGTGTTCAGTGTGATGGGGGATGAGGTGATGCTGCCCAGTCTGACCACTTGGCGTCTGTCAGACAGGAAGCTAAGGATCCAGCTGCAGAGGGAGCTGCTCAGTCCTAGATCCTGCAGTTTCCTGTCCAGCTTCGAGGGAACGATGGTATTGAATGCTGAGCTGTAATCTACAAACAGCATTCTCACATACGTGTCTCTCTTCTCCAGGTGTGACAGGGCAGTATGTAGTGTCAGGGCTATGGCATCATCAGTGGACCTGTTGTGGCGGTATGCGAACTGTAGAGGGTCCAGTGAGTCGGGTAGTGCAGAGCAGATGACGTCCCTGACCAGCTTCTCGAAGCATTTGCTTACGATGGGGGTCAGGGCTACAGGTCGCCAGTCGTTCAATGAGGAGACGGTGGAGGATTTGGGTACAGGGACGATGGTGGCCATTTTGAAGCAGGCTGGGACTACAGACAGAGAGAGGGAAAGGTTGAAGATGTGCGTGAACACTCCAGCCAGCTGAGCCGCGCATGACCTGAGGACGCGGCCGGGAATCCCGTCCGGACCAGTAGCTTTGCGTGCGTTCACCTTCCTGAAGCACTTCCGCACATCCTCCTCAGACACAGTGTGCGCACTGACGTCATCCGCGGTGCGCACACTGTCCGGTCTCATGGTGTTCGCTGTGTCGAATCTAGCGTAGAATACGTTTAGATCCTCACATAGAGAGGCCGTGGTCTGCAGTGTGCTGGGTTTCCCTCTAAAGTCTGTGATCGTGTTTAGTCCCTGCCACATACTCTGAGGGTTGTCAAACTGTTGCTCCACCCTGTCCCTGTACTCACGTTTGGCTGCTTTGATCGTCTTCCGGAGTTGGTAATGTGCGTGTTTGTAGTCCGATGTGTTCGCGGAGGCAAAGGCGGTGTTCCGTGCCGCGCGAACATCTCCGTTAATCCAGGGTTTTTGATTTGGGAAGGATTTAACTGTTCTGGATGGGACGACATCTTCCACGCATTTCCTGATAAATCCACAGACTGAGTCTGTGTATTCATCAATGTCCCTAGCAGCCACATGAAACATTTCCCAGTCCGCGTGATCAAAACAGTCCCGCAGCGCAGACTCTGATTGGTCCGTCCTACAGTGCACCGCCCTCCGGGTTGGAGCTTCCTGTTTCAGCTTCTGCCTGTAGGCGGGCAGGAGCAGGATGGAGCAGTGATCTGATTGGCCGAATGGGGTGCGGGGGAGGGCTTTGTACGCATCCCGGAAAGAGGTGTAACAGTGGTCGAGTAGCCGGTTTCCACGTGTGTTGAAAAGGATGTGTTGGTGGAGTTTTGGTGAGACTTTCTTCAGGTTTCCCTTATTAAAGTCCCCGGTCGTGATAAATGCCGCCTCTGGGTGTGCGGTTTCCTCACTGCTGATCGCGCTGTACAGTTCCCTGAGTGCACGGTCAGTGTCGGCTTGTGGGGGTATGTAAACAGCCGTAATAATCACTGCTGTAAATTCCCTCGGTAGCCAGAATGGCCGGCACTTAATCATCAGGTACTCCAGGTCCGGTGAGCAGAAGGATTTGACCGGGTGCACGTTCGCATAATCACACCAGCTGTTGTTGATCATGAAACACACACCACCGCCTCTGCTTTTCCCAGTAAGATCCTGTGACCTGTCCGCGCGGTGCACGGAGAACCCCGGTAGTTGTATTGCGGAGTCCGGTACTTTGTCCGATAGCCAGGTTTCTGTGAGGCAGATCACGCAGCAGTCCCGCATCTCTCGCTGGAATGAGATCCGTGCCCGAAGCTCGCACAGCTTGTTCTCCAGAGACTGCACATTAGCCAGTAATAAACTGGGTAACGGTGGTCTGTAAGTGCGCCGTCTCAGTCGAACCAGAACGCCAGATCTTCTCCCTCTGCGTCGGCGTTTGCGGCCTCCAGGGCCAGAGAACAAAGGCGTCTCAGGTGAGATGAATGGGGGGTCTGCAAACGGAGCGTCCGTGTTGCAAAACTTGAACTCCGGAAAGTTATAAGAAAGACCGTCTTTTATGTCCAGTAAGGTTTGTCGGTCGTACACAAGGAGACAAGTGCTGCTCGTGAAAAAATAAAGGAAAAGTAAAATTAAACACAGAAGAAAGCCGTTGCTTGGGGGAGCTCGCGACGAGGCTGCCATACTCGGCGCCATCTTGTCTTATTGTCTTGTCTTGCAACGCAAGCATTTGCAGCACCGCAAAACGTTCATTCTTCGGTTCCAATAAATTCTTGCTCTTTCTTTGCCCCCCAAAATGTTATGTACAAAACGTGTACAATGCCGGTCCGTACAAAGACAGACTTGATGAAAAGTCAAAGAAAAGATACGAGGAAAAAAATCAAAGGAGTGAAAGGGTCAGACCCTCACGAGCACACAGAGGGACAAAAGACGTTAGCGTGCTGCCTTAACTTTCACCACGCTCATATTTATAATTATACGGTTCTTGGAGTGAGTGCATACACTCATGAAGTTTAGTAACTTCAGGTCACTGCAACAAGCCCAGGTACAGTTTACCGACGGATGGGTACAGGACCTTGAAATGCACCGTGTAGAAAGTAAAGACCATCGTACGTATCATAAGTTTACCAGTCTCACAAATCTTCGTCATAAATACACATTCCTTAACCGTTTATTAATATAACATTTGAGCTCAATGGTAATTAATTAGTAGTGGAAATAATTTCTGGTAGCATCACAGAAATGTAGCAGTGACAATAATACTGTATGCTGTAATCGTACTGGACAATTAGTGGTACAAAATAACTGTTTTATCCTGTGAATAAAAGTATATGTTTTTGTCAATGTACCATAATAACAGAAGTGAAACGCAATATTGTGTCAGGACAATTCACTATTTATGCACAATAAACAAAGGAGCATAGCGCGACAATTTCTGTTCAGCGCCAGACTTGCTTGTAACCTATATCACCAATTATGTTAAGAAAAATTACGTATTAACTACAACAGCAGACTGACCTTCGTGTAAATGCTTGGAGCAGACTAACCTGGGAGCTGGAGTGTTCTGAGACGTTATATTTGATCTTTGAATGGCTGCAATCCAGTCGCCTCTTTGTTACTTCGGAAACATGGCTCGAACAATTTCTCTTCAACGACGTAATCCGATAACAACCGATCTCTTTACCCGTCGGCTTCCCGTGGCTGTCATGTGACCGGCTATTGCAGTTAATAATACAACAGCTTCTTGACATTTTTTGTGTTTCTTTTTATCGCTGTGTAACTGATTTCAATTGAAAGCCTGCGTGCGCTAGTACCTCTTGCCACGAGTTCCCAGAATCCTTTGCGGTTTTACCCCTGAGTGACGTCACATTTTCAATCTCTATGTAGAACAACAGTCTGTGATCTGCCCTCAGTTTGACTGGCTCCAAAGCTGAACTGTGTCCCTGGTTATTGGTGCGAAATCACAGCTTCTAAACGCCACTGGTAGGAGTTGGTTGGGTGAAACAAAAACTACTATTCCTACAACTACATGTCCACATTCTTATTTTGAGATTATTTTAAGAGGGTAACACCATTCACCTCGCATGTGATAGATACCCAGGAGGAAGAGAAACACAACCCAGTGTGTCTGGGCTGCATTACTGCATTTGTTACAGTTACTGTGATCATTTTTGGAAAACAATGATAAAGTGCATCCAGTGTATCAGACAGTAGAAAATGTCTTTGTGTATGGTACAAAGAAACAGTTTTGTGTGGTCAGACATGCAGGGTTTGAGAGGGTTGTACTGTGTTCTTCCCATGATGTATTGTCACCATCATCAACATCGTTAATGATTTTCCACTCCGTGATTGTCTGCTTCCCGTCAGGAGCTCTGAACCCTCTGAGTGCGGCGGCAGCTGCTGCTGCTGCAGCGGGCAGGGTGGCCCTCGCTGGGCAGACAGGCTCCAGTGGGGTCCTGCTGGTTAGCAACCTCAATGAAGAGGTTAGTAATACTGACACCAGTAACACCAGTAAAATGGAAAGTCTACAATTAAAACTCCACCGCTCCTACACACCACCTCCATTCATCTGTTCCTGTTTTTTCTGTTGCTCGCTGTGGGTCAGTTTTTCTATTTCCAGATTTGTTTTCTTGTGCTTGTCATTAAAGATGTGTATAAAAAAACTCATGTTTGACACTTGAATCTGTTAATCTTGATAATTTACTTTGCTTTTGTGTGAGACACACACAGACTGAACACACAGTTTGCTTTTCATGAACTTTCTAGTCTTAGAACTGCAGGAAAAACAAGGCTTCCTTTATGTAAGCTGTAGTTTCCCAAAGGTTCCTTTGATTGTATAATATTTGTTCGCATTCAGATAGCCTGTTGCCTATATGTGTTACCTCCTAACCAGCGTGTGTAGACATCATTTTCATTGTAATCACTGAGCTGTGTGGAGCAGTTGATGTTCTACATCTGGGCTCCTGTTGTAGGTCTAGTTTTATAAAATACTTTTCCTATGAACATTTCTTTACTGTAATTTTGTGTTGTTCTTAAAAGCAAGAACTTATTCTCCCCCCCTGTTTTTCCTTTTTTGGTCCACTTGGTGACTGCAGGATTTGACGTTTATTTCATAGGCACCCGAACCCTCTCCCCTCTTTCCTGTTCTGATAATCAAACCTTCCCTTTTCTTGTCAAACTGCATCTAACTCTGCTAACTGTCTGTCTTCTCTTTTTCTCTCTAAGCTCTCCTCACCTCTCCTCAGCTCATATGAAAGCTCATATGAAATCATTCTGTGGTCTCCTAACTGTGTCTAAGCCCTGGGAACAAACACCTGCTGCTTGCTCTTTTATCCCTTTTCTTCTGTTTTTGGTTTGTGTGTTTAAACTGATTTGGCATCTGACTTGTCTGCTCTGCTCATCTCTGTGAATGGTTGTGTTATTCTGCCTTTGGACAGTATCTACACCACTTAAAGCCCTGATGCTAAGATACTGTGCTCATGCTTTCTTTTAGCTTTGTGGATTTGTGTGAATGCCATGTTATACTGAAGTGGCCTTCACATCAACTCTTTCATGCAAGATTTTGTTGCCTTTTATACTGCATGCTATCTAATCTCCTTGTGAACTCGTGTCACACCATTGCTGAAAGACATTCAGTTTTCTCACAGCTGCTGCATGTTCTATTTATCCCATTGTTGTGAATGAGTTTGAATATTATTATGATTTGAGATGAATGTACCTTTATCCCATGCTTGTCTAGGATGAAAGCCAGTTTTTTTTTTAAACTTTGCTCTATTTTCTCCAAAGACAACATTGATCCAAGCCATTATCTCTGACCAAACTACTTGCATTATTCCAGTGTACTGACCTGTATTTTATTTTTTTTGTCCCTCCCCATTCCTCATTTTTAAATTTCCTTACCCAAATTTGCATTTGCCTCCCTGATTTCTCTCTCTCTCTCGCTCTCTCTCTCGCTCCCCCCCCCCCCCCCCCCCCCCCTCTCTCTCTCTCTCTCTCTCTCTCTCTACCCTGCTCCACCTTCACTCCGTGTGCTGGTGGGGATTTTATAAATTTATAACCTTCAATCACCCTTTCTTCCTCCCATATTAACCAACCCTTCTTCCCCTCCATGACCCCTCATCCACCGCTTGCTCCCCTCCTCCATGACCCACCACCTCCATCACTCTCCGGGGAAAAACAAAAACCACCATTCCTCCTACCTACCTCCGTTCTGGATCGATCTGTCCATCTCTACCTCCGCTCCGCTCCGACTCTTCTACCTCTCTACCTGTCTCACGCTGCTTGTTGCTCTTCTCTCCCTCTAAAGATGGTTACGCCCCAAAGTCTGTTTACCCTCTTCGGTATGTTATCGTTAGCTCTCTCTCTCTTCTTTCTTTAGCTCTACTTTTCTTTCTTGTATCTACTCTTTCTATTCTACTTTCATTCTGACTTTTTGTTGTTGTTGTTACTATTATTATTGTTGTTATTATTATTATTATTATTATTATTATTATTATCATAGTTATTATTAATATTGTCATTGTTAGCATTACAAGCTTCTCTATATTTGTTTGCTGATTGTAGATTTGGTCATTTTGAATCCTCATTGACCGCCTGTTAATTGGTTTGGGTTATGTCATGTCATTACTTTGCCCTAAAATTTACTACTTAGTAAGAAGTTAATGCATGTCTAAGCCATTGGTTTTTGCATGCTGTTTTTATTTTTAGCCATCTCACATAGCTTGATAACGTTTCTGCTTAGAGGGTGCTTCTTCTTTATCCTTTATCTGTTTTTTCACACACTTTCATACACCTCACACTCTACAGTCTAAAATAAACCTGTGTTTCTATGCTGTCGTCTCTGCTGTACTTTGTTTTTAATATCCTTGTCTCCTGTGAAACCTTGAGATTTTTCTAACTGCCTGCTTTTTTTCGTCCCAACCTCTTCTCCTATTGCCGGCTTCTGGGTCTGTCACAGGAGTGTATGGTGATGTCCAGAGGGTGAAAATTCTTTACAACAAGAAGGACAGTGCTCTCATACAGATGTCTGAGTCCAATCAGGCCCAGCTAGGTAAGTGGATATCTCTGTTATATGGATGTCTGACTGGTCTGTAGTGCAAGTCCCATAGTATGCTGTGTAATAAATATTTTGGTCCTGTGTTGATCATTACACTTTTCTTAAATATAATGCAGCACAGTCATTACTTGCCAGAGAAAGTAATTCTGTTACTTTTTTACTCAGTAAAATGAGCTGAAACGCAGGCTTGTATAATTGGCAGCTAACAATATAAACATTAGAATACAGTCCCACACACCAGCACAAATGCATATCGTGAGGACACATACACACTGTCTTTTAGTTTTTACATAAGAACTCAAAGCAAAGATGGCAACCAGTGATGTCACTGTAGAAATGGTAAATGTCTGTATTTATAATGAGGCGATCGTGGCTCAAGAGTTGGGAGTTCGCCTTGTAATCAGAAGGTTCGAGCCCCGGCTTGGACAGTCTCGGTCGTTGTGTCCTTGGGCAAGACACTTCACCCGTTGCCTACTGGTGGTGGTCAGAGGGCCCGGTGGCGCCAGTGTCCGGCAGCCTCGCCTCTGTCAGTGTGCCCCAGGGTGGCTGTGGCTACAATGTAGCTGCCATCACCAGTGTGTGAATGGGTGGATGACTGGATGACTGGATATGTAAAGCGCTATACAAATACAGGCCATTTACCATATATAGCGCTTTACTAGTCCCTAAGGACTAGTAAAGCGCTTTACATATCCAGTCATCCACCCATTCACACACACCAGTAGGCAACGGGTGAAGTGTCTTGCCCAAGGACACAACGGCCGAGACTGTCCAAGCTGGGGCTCGAACCGGCAACCTTCCGATTAAAAGATGAACTCCCAACTCTTGAGCCACGATCGCCCGATAGAAACACACGTATAGGTAGAAATAGAGGCTACAGTGCTCAAGCCTGACTTCCTCATCCTTTTGTTACACATGGTTCTGGGTCAGCATGCACTCAGCTTTTTCATTGGCTAGCTCTGTGTCTGCATGTTTTCTGCAGGTACTTGCGCCCCAGTACCAGGGTGGCTGTGGCTACATTGTAGCTTGCCATCACCAGTGTGTGAATGTGTGTGTGAATGGGTGGATGACAGGTTGTGTAAAGCGCTTTGGGGTCCTTAGGGACTAGAAAAGCGCTATACAAATACAGGCCATTTACAGGCCATTTACTTTAAAAGAGATGAAGTTAGCATTGTAACATGGTTATTTGTCCTGGATGCAGTTTGCAATTTACCAGCAAACTGTTATCCATTTATGCAAAAACAAAATAAAATAAAAAAAAATAAAGAGTCCTTCTGTGTGTCATCATACAGGACACTTAAGCCCCTTTTCAATTAGTACCTATTCAGGTTGGCTCGTCACAGTTTTCAGGGTTTGCCATTAGGTCATAGTACCAGGTAACAGGTCCTTTTTTTAGCACCTACTTGGCCATGGTTCCAAATGATCCCAAAATGTGACGTCAACAGACTGCATGCCACCAGTTGGCTAGTCAGTGGCGTCACGAGAGTGTCTCATTCATGAAAATCAAAACCGCCGTTTTTAAAACCTGGCAACAAAGGAAATGGCTAGAAAAAACAATGCCATCGTCCACAGACTGAGCAGCAGGCATATCGTCGCCTCGATGTCCACTTTGTAGCGTGCGCGTCACATACTAATTACGTCATGGGACGCTCAGCTGTGTTGCTATAACGATGGACACGCGCAGTTCTTCCATTTCTAAGACTTCCTGTTGCCAACAAATCTGTGAGAAGGCAAGGTAAGGAAGACAGAGCCCCTGCAGGACTACAGCCAGGGACATGCTCTGTGATCCACATGGGGTTGACATCAACTGCATCACTGACTACATACATTTCTGTGAAGATACCTAAAGCGCCTTGAGGCGACTGTTGTTGGGATTTGGCGCTGTATAAATAAAATTGAATTGAATTGAATCCCAGCCAGGACTGTATGCTGTTTTTCCAACAATAAGTCCTGGATCAACATTGACAAGAAGGCCCTGCTGAATGAGTTGAATGTGGGGCTAATAAGGTGTAGATGCATACAGACCAAAGTCCATCTGAATAACACCAAAGAGGTGTGGAGAGATGCAGCTGATGCCCTCAATCAGATAAATTGGCAGTAGCCTGCACACAGCACGAACAATGAACTGACTCTCTATCTTAACAGGGTCAGTACTGGGTCCCCTGCTGCCAGTCCTCATACCGGACTGTGATAGTAGGGATGGGTATTGTTTAGGTTTTATCCGATACCGGTGCCAAACTGGTACTTTTGAAACGGTGCCGGTGCTTAAAGAATGGAGAACACAAACTTTGTCCATAAACCTCTTAGCAGTCTCTTTTTTTTCTGCAAAATGATAACCAAGTTAGCCTTTTCTGTTGATACAACATACCTCCTTTGGTTGGAACCGGTGCTTAAACAATGGAAAACACAAACTTTGTCCTAAAACCTCTCATGTTTAGCTGTGTTTGGTTTTTTTTTTTTTGTAAAAGGATAACAATGTTAGCCTTTTCTGCAGCTATCACCTTAAAGCACTTGTTGCAGGCTGCTGAGTTTGCATCTCTTGCTGTGTACAGCCAGACTTTTGACCGCTTTGACCATTTTTAATCTGTAGCTCTGCTCTAAAAGAACATACGTACCGTACCGCCTACTATCCTTGGAAAGGTAAAATGATTGGCTAGAATCCAAAGTGTATGACATCTCAAGAAAAAAAAAAAAGCACTGAAATGTGCGCTGCTTTTCGGTCTGGTTACTACCGGTTATGTCAGAACCGGTGCCATAATGGCACCAGATACCGCTACCCATCCCTAGTGATTGGTGTCCAGCTAAGAGCGTAAGTGTAGGGACTACACCAAAGCAAAGCTATAGACCCTGGTCGCATCAGGTCTGAATGACTTCAGACCAGTTACCTTGACGTTAACATGTCATCAAGGTGCTGGAGAGACTGGTTCTTGCCCGACTTAGCTTCCAGGTGAAACATGCTCTCAACACTCTTCGGTTCACTTACCAGCCTCTTGTGGGGGTGGATGATGCTGTTATCTGCCTGTTGCAACATGCTCGCTTTCACATGCGTGGAACTGGTAGCATTGTGAGAATCATATTACTTGTCTTTCCAAGGAAAAACAATTCAAGTGAGAAGTTGCTCGGGGTGGGTATCACCACTTCTCCTGTCTCCTGGATTGCCGACCACGTCTTTAAGGTTGGGCAGGAGTGGTGAGGAACTATGTGGAGAAGTCTGGAAGAAGAGCAAGCATCTTTTATTGTTATTATATGTTCACACATAACGAAGTTTTGTTTTGGTACCTCGGCACACATCAGACACAAGTTGTTGTTTTTTTTGTGTGTTTGTTTTTTAAAAAATACGTGTTTACAGAAACCTATTCCAATTACAGTTATATAACCGATATGGACAATGTGTAGACTTTCAGCTTCCATTTGAGGGTATCCACATTGAAATTGGGTGAAGGGTTTAAGAGTTTTTGCTCCTTAACACGTGCCAAAAGTAATTAGCTAATTGACTCAAAGTCGATTCCATGGCCAGGTGTGGGCAATTCCTTCATTATGTCATTGTCAGTTTAGCAAATAAAAGGCATGGAGTTGATTTGAGGTGCACTATAAAACAGTTGAATGGACACTATCTATGTGTGCAGGAAGTCACAAATAGAATTTAGATGTATTTCACAGATCTGGGGGAAAAGCTCTCCCTCAGTCTGGTGGTGCATGTTTGTATGTTTCTATACTGATTACCAGATGGAAGCATTTTAAACAGTCCATTTCCAGGGTGGGTGGGGTCTGCAGTGATACGTCAGTGCCGGAGATGGCAGTAGGATCAATAAAGTAATCCGCAAAGCTGGAAGCATCATAAATCAGAACTTGGAGGCATTTGAGTCATTGAGAGACGGGACTGTGCTCCACCATGGATAACCCATCGCACCTGCTCTACTCCACACTTCTAAGGCAGATTTATAGTCTACATTTTATTTATTAAATGCAACTTACACTTCTCTCTTACACAACGCCAGTCTTACATTTACTTTTTTTTAACCAACTTTTACTTTACTATTTAAACCATTTTTACTTTTCATTGTTTTTTGTCACTGTTGTATACTGCAGGAATTATATCTCATAATATAAGGCCCTTATTGGACACCTGTGACACTCTTATTTTAACTGTGTTGTTTATTGTTGTGTATTGTAGACTCTACTATTTTTACTTTATCATGCTGTTGTGACACAAAAAAATTCCCTTATGGGCTCAATAAAGTATCCATCTATTTAACATAACAAAATCCTTTTAGTGCTTTGTTCGAGATCGAATGCATTCCCCTCTCGCCCCTTTAGGCGGTCTTTATCCTCCAAGCTCTGGTCCTCTACCAGAGGCCTGGGAGCTTGAGGGTCCTGCGCAGTATCTTAGCTGTTCCTAGGACTGCACTCTTCTGGACAGAGATCTCCGATGTTGTTCCTGGGATCTGCTGGAGCCACTCGCCTAATTTGGAAGTCACTGCAATAAGTGCTCTGATTACCACTGGGGCCACTGCAACCTTCACCCTCCACATCTTCTTGAGCTCTTCTCTGAGCACTTGGTAATTTTCCAGCTTGGTTAGCCACCACCATTTTGTCTGTCTGTATCTGGAAGTCCCACAGGATCTTAGCTCGGCCATTCTCCACCATTCTTGGGGGCGTCTCCCATTTTGACCTCGGGACTTCCAGGCCATACATGGCACAGATGTTCCTGTATGCTATGCTGGCCACTTGGTTATGGCGTTCAATGTATGCCCTGCCTGCTAGCTTCTTACACCCTGCACTTCTGTGCTGGATTGTCTCAGGGGCATCTTTACACAGCCTGCACCTGGGGTCTTGCCTGGTGTGATAGACCCCAGCCGCTATGGATCTTGTGCTCAGAGCTTGTTCCTGTGCTGCTATGATTAGTGCCTCTGTGCTGTTTATTCATAAGGTTAGTTAGTAGAGTTGCCAACCGTCCCGTAAAAAACGGAATCGTCACGTATTCAGAGAAAATA